GGTGCCTGAGCCCTGCCACCCCAAGGTGCCTGAGCCCTGCCACCCCAAGGTTCCTGAGCCCTGCCACCCCAAGGTGCCTGAGCCCTGCCCCTCAAAGGTCACTCCAGCACCAGCCCAGCAGAAGACCAAGCAGAAGTAAAGGGGTGCACAGCCACGCCCCTGGAGGAGTCGACCACCAGCTGCTGAACCCCTTTCCCACTCTGCTTATGAGTCCCATTTGCCTGTTGACCATGCAAATAGCATGTTGTCACCCCGAGTCACAATCCCTTCCTCATTTGCACCCTCTGAAAAGATTTCCCTCATACTCACTCTGGATCTCTGAGTCTCTGAATTAGGATGAGGGTCTTAGTACCTGAGCTAGTTTTCATCTGTTCAGTATTTATCTGAAGGGGGATTTAAAGTGAAAACAATTGAATCATCCCTGTTCTGCCCGCATTAAATTCACTTTCAACTCCACGGCTGACTCTGCATGTCATTGTCTGAGTCAACTTTTTCATTCCTCTTGCTCATGAAGCAGAAGCTATACACAGAGACAAGTTGGTTAAGAAACCCCTGATGCTGCAATAGATGGTTGGAAGTTTGCACCCACGGTGCATTCCTGGGCTGGCAGTGGGAGATTGTGCAATGCCACCCAGAGGCTGTTGCTTTTGGTATCCAGGGTGGAGCAAGGCTATCCTCTTGCAATTCAGTTGAGTCATGCCTAGTTTAGTGGTGCCTGTTCCAAGCTAACTCTGACTCTCCAACCTTAAGTATCTTATCCCTGAATCTGGTTTCCAGATTGCTGATTTATTCTGTGTAGCCAATTTCTATTTCTTTCAATGAAATGTTGTTTCTGCTTATGTGAATCCAGTTATGTATTCCTCCTCACTCACTTCCTCCTGATACCAAAAACTCAGATATGAACCCATACCCAGAGACTCACACTGTCTGCTCTTTGTTGTTTCAATCAATCCTCTTCCAGTTACTGACTGCACACTGTCCGAAGAGGGGTAAGGAGGGCTCATGGTGCTTCCCTTTGAGGAGTTCACAGTCTTCTCGAGAGGTATACTTGAGTCCCCACTCCACATCTTATACAAACACACATACACACCTGCACACACTAGATCTGGAGTCCCTCACAAAGAGTTGATCCACCAGATTCCCCAAGTTGGAGACTGCTTACTTCACCCGTAGTGTGACGTGAACAGGAACTGAGGATTGCAAATACTCACTCATCTTCCTAGAGGAAAGAAATATTTAGAGTCAAATGAAATAAGATAAAATTGTAACAGCATACTCATATATATGCATATTAATACGTATATATTCAGATTGTCTATATTATATGTAACTTAAAAAGCAGGAACAGTATTTATATATAATGTTCCTGTTTTTTAGGTTTACCGAGAGACAAACTTTTTTTTTCTATAGCAGTATAAAAAAGACATAGTTTTCCTGAAGTTAGAAAATGAAATAAAGAAAAAAAAAATGAGTATTTGGTATACCTCAAGTGATAATGATACTTTTAATTATAATATTTTTACCTGATTGCATTCTTTCAAGTTACAAAGTCTATTTGAAAAAAAACATTTATTCTAAAGTTTTATTACCCTAATTATCTTCTTGTTTAATCAGAAGTTTAAAGTCTACTATCAAAACCAAGTAAACAATGTCTCCATCCTAACACCAAAACCAACCATTGTTGCATATGTCAGTACCTCATTCCTTTTTTGTTTGTTTCATTAATTTTTAAAAATTTTGATGGAAGTATACACAGAGATGAATAATTTCAACAATTTCTACATGTATAATCCAATAACATTAATAACATTCTTCAAGTTGTGCTACTATTCTTGCTATCCTTTCCCAAATTATTCCACCACCATTATCTTAAACTCGCTGCCCCCTAAGCTTCCCATCCAATCTTTCTGGTTGCCACTGCCAATCGGATCTCACATAGATAATTCTTTAAAAGAGCACAATGCTCAAATCAGACTCTACTAATTAAGGTAAGCTGTTTTTTGGTTCAAAGAAGACTTCAGGGGATAGCTTTGGTATAAGATTCTACAGAAGAATCCTGATCAAAACAGGGGGAAATGAGGAACAGAATTTAAAATTCTCAATGGAATCAAGACTTTATGAAGCTAGTAAGGCTGGATGAACCGCTGAAACTATTGCCTTGAGTTAATCATTAAACTTTAAAACTTAAACCAGCAGTTCATTCCTTTTAATTGTTGAGTAATATTTTGTTGTATGGATACAGCACATTTTGTTTATTTATTTATCCATTGACACACATTTATGTTGTTTTTTTTTAATTCACTGTACTAAATTATATACTAAATGCACCCATTTAATTGTACTTTTCAATGAGTTTTAATTACTTAATTAGCACAACCACAATTAAAATATGGAATACTTTCATCACCCCAAAAAGTTTCTTTGTGTCCCATAAAACTGAATCATTCTCCCAGCGACACAACCATTGATGTACTTTTCATCACTATAGCTATAAAATCCATTGCTTTCAAGTAAATTCCGACTCCTAGCAAAACTATAGGGCAGAGTAGAACCGCACCATAGGTTTTCCAAGGCTGTAATCTTTTCGGAAGCACACTGCCACATCTTTCTCCTGCAGAGAGGACTGGTGGGCTCGGATTTGCTGACCCTTTGTTTACCTGCTGGGGGCTTAACCGCTGCACCACCGATGCTCCTTACTCTTTTCTAAAATTTCATATAATCATGCATTCTGTTCTCTTTTGTGTAAGCCTTATTTCAACTGTCAGTGTTTCTGAGAGTCATGTTTCATTGAGTTGTTTGCCTTCTGATTATCAAATTTTAAGAGTTCTCTATGTATTCCATAGAAGCTCTAGTGGCACAGTGATTAAGTGCTCGGATGCTAACCAAAATGTTGGCTGTTGGAACTCACTAGCTACTCCGAGTGAGAAAGACGTGGCAGTCTGCTTCCGTAATGATTACGGTCTTGGAAACCCTATGGGGCTGTTCTACTCTATACTGTATGGTCGCTATGAGTCGGACTTACCAGCAACAGGTTTTGGTTTTTCTGTGCATTCAGAATCAGTGTACCTTCCCGTATTATTGCTGAATATTATTCCATTGTATGGGTAGACCACAATTTGTTTATCTATTTCATCCATTCACCAATTGATGGACATTTAAGTTGTTTCCAAATTTGACTATTACGAATAAACCTTCTATAAACAGTCATATTTAAGTTTTTGTTTGGACATATATTTTCATTTCTCGTGCCATAATATAGATAGTAGAATCACTGCAACATATAGTAAATGTATTTTTGATGTTATAAGAAGCTGGTAAACTACTTCCCAAATGACAGTATGATTTTATCTTACCACTGGCAATGTATGAGAGTTTCGCTTGCTTCACATTCTCAGCATCATTTGACATCATTACTATTTTTTTAATTTTTGCCAGTCTAATAGGTGTGTAGTGGTATCTCACTGTGGTTTTATTTTGCATTTTCTTGATGACTACTGATGTTGAGCACTGTATATCTTCTTTTCTAGGGTGTCTCTTCAACTATTTTGAATATTTTTTATTGGTTTGTTAGTGTCCTTATTTTAAGTTGTAAGAATTCATTATATTCCATCTGTGGCTTGTCTTTTGTTTTCTTAATGGACTCTTTTGAAGAGAAGTTTTTAATGTGATGAAGTCAAATTTATGAATTTTTTACAGTTTCTGCTTTTCATATTATAAGAAAATTACGCTTAACACCTTTTTTAGAGGATTTTTCTCCCATATTTTCTTCTTAAAGTGTTATTATTTTAGCTTTTACATTTATTTAGGCTTATTATCTATTTGGATTCATTTTTGTATTTGACGTGAAGTAAAGGTTCAGAGTCATTATTTACTATATGGATATCTAGTTGTTTCAGTATGATTTGTCAAATACATTATCCTTTCCTATTGAAATACTTGACACCTTGGCCATCACCTAGATGAGACCAAAGAGTCAACAACTACTTTAAAACAAAAATGAGAAAGTAAGGGGGCAGGGAAACCTGATTAATGGAAATGGAACAACTAGAATGGAAATAATGAGAATGTTCACACATTGTGAAGAATGTAAACCAATGTCACTGAACAATTTGTGTAGAAATTGTTGACTGGGAACCTGAACAGCTGTGTAAGCTTTCAGTGAAAACACAATGAAATATTCTTAATAAATAAATAAATAAAATACTGTATTAATTCAAAAGAAAAAAAATTCAATTGGCCATGTGTGCGAAGGTATTTTACTGAACTCTCTCTGCTGTTTCATTAATCTATATGTATCTTTATGCCAATACCATTCTGTTTTGATTACTGAAGATTTAGAATAAATATTAAAATTTGTTTGTGTGTGTCCTCCAACATTGTTCATTTTTTTTTCAAAATTGTTTTGCCTATTCTAGGTCCTTTGAGTTTCCATATGCAGTTTAGAACTAGCTTGTTAATTTCTACAATAAAGCCTCCTGGGATTTTGATTAAGATTGCATTAAACGTATAGATCAATTTAAAAAGAATTGACATCTTACCAATATTGAGTCTTCTAATATATGAATATGGTATAGCCCTCCATTTATTTAGATCTTCTTTAATGTCTCTAAGTAATGTTTTGTAATTTTATTGTATAGGACTTGCACTTCATTTGTTAAATGTTTCTTTAACTATTTAAGATTTTTTGATGCTATTGTAAATGGTACAGTTTTAATTTCCAACTGTTTGTTGCTAATATATATAAACACAGTTGATTTTTGTATATTGACCTTTTTTGATTATAACTTTCACAATGTATCTATCAGTTTGCCATACTGTGGTGGCTTGCATATTGCTGTGATGCTGGATGCCATGCCATGGTATTTCAAATACCGATAGGGTTGTCCATGGTGGGCAGATTCAGTGACACTTTCAGACTAAGACAGACTAGGAAGGCAGGTCTGGTGATCTACTTCTGAAAATTAGCCAATGAAAACCTTATGGATCACAACAGAATAATTCCATAATAGTACTGGAAAATGTGCCCCCTAAGTGGGAAGGCACTACACAATAGCTGCAACAATGGACTCAAACATACCAAAGATGAAGAAGATGGTGCAGGACCAGGCAACATTTCATTCTGTCCATAAGTTGGAGTTG